TCTGGTGGTTAATTGGAGATAAGAGTATCATGGATTTCCCTGCTCCAACTGGCTTTGAATCATGATCCTCTGATCTCTGCCTCCTGAGTAGCTAGGATTACAAGTGTGAGCCACTAGTGCACGGCTGGAACTTAGTTTTTATAAAGACTCTTGTATGATTTTATAAAGTACTTGTTTTTTCTTTCTTTAAGATTAAGGTTTCTGGCCAGGTGCCAAGTCAGGTGACTCATGCCTACAATCCTAGCAACTCAGGAGACTGAGATCTTGAGGATTGAGGTTCGAAGCCAGCCAGGAAAGTCTATGAGACTCCCAGGACTGGCATACTCACAGACACACATACAAATAAACTATGGCTTCTTAATGTTTACTTTAACTACAAATCATCTATATTCTCTTCATGTCAAAATAGTATTTTAGCTGGGTTTTGGTGGCCCATGCTTGTAATCCTAGCTACTCAAGAGGGTGAGATATGAGGATCATGGTTCCAAGCCAGCCTGGGCAGCAGCCTGAGACACTTATATCTCCACTAAAAAACTACCAAAAAAGCCAAAAGTGGAGCTGTAGCTCAAATGGTAGAGCACTAGCCTTAATAACAAAAGCACCCAGACCCAGAGTTCAAGCCCCAAGACTGTCAAAAAAAAAGAAAGAAAGAAAAAAAAAAAAAGCCAGGCACTGGTGGCTCATGCCTGTAATCTAGCTACTCAGTAGGCTGAGATCTGAGGATTTCGGTTCAAAGCCAGCCTGGGAATGAAAGTCTGTGAGACTCTTTTTTTATTTATTTATTTATATTTTTTTTATTGTGAAAATACTGTACATAGGGGTTACAATTACACGGGCAAGATAATGAGTACATTTCTTATCAAGCATTGTAGCCTCCTCCTTTGTTTCCCCTTCCTATCCCTTTCCATCCTCCCCCTGCCCCAAGTCTGTGAGAGTCTTATCTCTAATAAACCACCAGAAAACTGGAAGTGGTGCTGTGGCTCAAGTGGTAGAGTGCTAGTCTTGAGCTGAACAGCTGAGGGACAGTGCTCAAGCCCAGAGTTTAAACTCCATTACCGACAAAAAAAAAAAAAGAAAGAAAGAAAAAGAAAATGTAATATTTTAGCCTGGTACCGGTGTCTCACAACTTATACTGCTAACTACTCTGGAGGCTGAGATGTGAAGATTGTAGTTTGAAGCCACCTGGACAGGTAAATCCAAGAGGCTCTTACCTCCAGTTAACCAGCAAAAACCTGGATTTGGAGGTATGGCTTAAGTGATAGGGATCTGGCCATCAGCAAGAAAGCCAATTGAGTTCAAGCCCTGTACTGGCACACAAAAAGAAGGGAGGGAAGAAAGGGAAGGGAAGGGAGAAAGGGAAAGGAAGAGGGAAGGAGAAGGGAGGGGAGAGAAGGGGCAGGGAAAGAGGGAGAGGGAGAACTGGGAAGAAAAGGAAAGAAAAGAAAGCAGCCAGGTGTTGGTGGCTCATGTCTTGTAATCTTAGCTACTAAGGAGGTCGAGCTCTGAGGATTGTGGTTTGAAGTCAGCCCAGGCAGAAATGTTACTGAGACTATAATCTCAGTTAACCATGAAAAACTGGAAGTGGAGCTGTGGTTCAAGTGATACAGCACTAGCCTTTAGCACAAAAGCTCAGGGACAGCACCAGGCCCTCAGTTTAAGCCCTAGAACCAGGGGCTGGTAAGGTGTCTCAGTGGTAGAGTGCTTGTTTTGCAAGCATGAGGCCCTGAGTTCGATTCCTCAGCACCACATAAGCAGAAAAAGCTGCAAGTGGCACTTTGGCTCAAGTGGTAGAGTGCTAGCCTTGAGCTGAAGAGCTGAGGGACAGTACCAGGCCCAAAGTTCAAGCCCCACGACCAAAAAAACAAACAAACAACAAACAAAGCCCTGGAACCATTACCAAGAAGAAAGAAAAGTAAAGTACAAAAAATATCAAATGAGGGCTGGGATGTAGCTCAGTGGCAAAGCGCTTGCCTAGCAAGTGCAACGTCCTGAGTTCGATCCCCCGTACCAAAAAAGAAAAGACAAAAAAAAATACAGTTAAAAAAAAAACCCCAAACAAATAATATCAAATGAGGGCTGGGAAGGTGGCTCAATGGTAGAGCACTTGCCTTGCATGCATGAGGCCCTGGGTTTGATTCCTCAGCACCATATAAGCAAAAAGAAAAAAGCCGGAAGTGGCACTGTGGCTCAAGTGGTAGAGCGCTAGTCTTGAGCTGAAGAGGTGAGGGACAGTGCCCAGG